TAAGCTTCTACTTGAAGAAACTGAGGAAGAAGAACAATTTAAGCTTAATGAAAGCAGAACAAAAAAAATCATAAAAACTGGGGTGCCTGGGTGGCTCAGTCATTAAATGTCTGCCTTTGGCTCAGGTCATGATCTCAGAGTCCTGGGATCGAGCCCCACATCAGGGTCCCTGTTCGGTGGGGAGCCTGCTTCTCCCTCTGCCCGCTGTTCCCCCTGCTTGTGATCTCTGTCTCTTTCTCTGTCAAATAAATAAATAAAATCTTTTTAAAAAAATCATAAAAACTAGAGCAGAGATCAACAAAATTTAAAAGAAGAAAATAATAGAGAAAATCAAAAAAACCAAAAGCTGGTAAACCTCTAACCAGGTTAACCAAAAAAAAGAGAGAAGGGAAGAGAAAACTCAAATCAATGAAGGACCATCACTATTAGTCCCACAGACATTATAAGAATAGTAAGGGAGTAATATAAACAACTCTATGGCCAAAAAGTTGATCACACAGATGAAAGGGATCACTGCTCTGAAAGACACAAACGACCAAAACTCCTACAAGCAGCCACTGACCCCCGCCAAGGCCTCTACCCACCAGCTGCAGCACACCAAAGTCAGACCTCTAAGTACTCACCTCTTTAGGAGCCTATAACACAAGCACCCTCAAAACCCCGAATCTCCCACCACCAATCCCTCATCCATCAATCTGGACCTCTTCTGACTGCTTCCAGAAAACTATCAGAATCTTCTCAGCCACAAGAAAGTATAACTACCTCAGAAATGCAATACATCTTGGCAACAACTGAAGCCATCTACCAGTAACTGCTAGAAATAATTTTCTTGGCAACCCTGTGGCCATCGAAACCCATCTCCATGTCTCATGTCCCTGATGCATTTTTATTACTTACGTACCTGCCATTCATCTTTCTCCTATGTCTCTTCCCCACACTGCTCTGTGCTTGCTCTTCCCGGTTTACCCTCCAACTGCTCCTCTTCATCCCAGATCTTTTTGCTATAACTTTTGGAAATCAGATTTCAAGTTTAATACATCCTTCTATATCTTCAAATTCTTCAGCAAAGATTCCCTATATTTTCTATACCTTAACTTCACTTTTTCCCCCTGCAATTCCCAGAAGACACTATCGCCCCTTCTCTTTATAAACCTCAAAACTTTTAGTAAATATTACACAAAGTTTCTTCATACAGTATTTTGTTTTCATCTATTTCACTTTTCACCATATCTAATGAACATGATGAACCATTAACCAGACAGACAGCATTTTCAAGGAAATATTGAAGTCTCAAAGGACAATACCTAAATACTGTAAGTTATTCCATAGATTTAGTTCTGAAATTTAATAGGCACAGTACATACACAATTTAACCTTCCACAAAATGAAAGGTTCCCAGTTCCCGTAATGCAGGTATTTTTTTTCCTCCATGATTTGTACAACAAATAATCTACTTTAGCTTTTAATTATATGTGGAAATGGGTTAAACCATATAGCTTGTACCACAGTCTTACAACATATACTTTGCTGCATAAGTACAACCCGTAAGAAGAAACACTAATGCAAGAGCGGTCTGTATAATCAGTTATAAGCTGGCAAATATCCAAGTAAAAAATGCACAGTAAAAGATAGCAGAGGATCTCAGAGAGTCCAGCTTTGCAATGCGCTCTCTCCCCAGCCGCTATACAGGCAACCAAATCCTTTGGTTGGTGGTTAACAGGCTGGCTCATCTGTGTGGGGCACTAGCACACAATAGAAGTTATGTTCTGCCTCACAAATGACTACACTTCATTGAGTTTATGCTCAGTAGGGCAGTGTTTGCAAACCACTTAGATTCCAGGGCGGAAAGAGCTACAAAAATGAAACACCCAGTCCTTCTCTGAGGTTTGTTATTAGCCTCTGTTAGCCACAGGTTACAGGGCACTAAACACTACGTACTGTGTGTTTGCTTGTAACCACTATGAAAAATAGCCTATAACATCTTTCTGAAGACTCCTAGAAAATTTTAAGTTAATTTAAAATCTGGGAATTTAACTGGGAAATACTTCAATTCTTAGAACTGGTTCTTGTCAAAATACCTCACTAATTCTTTCTTGGGTGTCAATCCAATTTTGTTTCAACCAACGCTATTCAATAGATGATTGCTAGAGTTAACACTACTGGGGGGAAAATGTGAACAGGGTAAAATAATCAGTGCTATTTGAATCCAAGTTCATTCCCAGCCTACCAATAAGCTTCTTAATGCTAAGAAATGCTTTAAGAAAAACAGACTCACTAACTTAATTGCCCAGACATGTGTAAGATAATTCTTTCTATACATAATATGTAAGTTAGAGAACCTAAGCCAAAATCCTAAATAACACATTAAACTGATGTCCTCAAAACAGCCTATCCAAACATCATTTCTGAATGATATCTATCCTGTAACATGTATACCAAAATGCAAAGTATTCATGAGATGAGCAATATAAGCATCTATAAGAACTCTAGAAACAGTACAGATCCACTTTGAAGAATAATTATATGACCATATAATATAAAGTTATTAAGTATATTAAAATGCTCTTGGAATGTTTTTGAAAAGTAACCTTTCCCCCAGTTTATGGTAGAGAATTGTAGTCAGAGCTTCTCGGGCCTAGATAGAAAAATTTACATATATTTTACAAAAGAAACTATTGGTAAATGTACTTTATGTATTTTGCATAAACTAATTTAGAATCTCTGGAAAGCAGAGAAAATTTATTATATTTTCATTAATTTATGATAATTCATTTTTATCATCTCAGAATTTGTAGTTTCCTGGCACAATTTCATGAAAATGTTCATGAAATTCTCAGAAATACTGTACTTACAACGTTGTTCAATAAAACAAGGTATAGTCTTATAACATTCACAGAAATTGTAAAGTATAAACAATATAAGGCACCATCAAAAGAAAAAAATGTCATATGTACCTTCAAAACAGAAATCTTATTTGACAAGTTTATAAGAAGGAACATAACACACTCTTTCTCACAACATATGAGGGACATCAGAAGAGAATACAGACATTTTACTAAACTCAAGTTCTCTCAAAAAAAGATGAAAATTTTTTTAATTTCTACATATTTGACTAATAATGTCTGCTGATTTTAAGCAGTTACATAATGGCATAAAACACTGCAAAAAAAAAATGATTCAACAGAACAGCCACATAACATTGTGAATGCACTAAATGCCACTGATTATATACTTTTACAATGGTTAATTTTATATCATGTCAATTTCACACCAACATTAATTTTATACATAATTTTATATTAATAACTATATAAATCAAAAAATAAATTTTTAAATGATGAAAGGTAAAATTAAGGGAATCCAAATCACGAGCATTATATACCCTCAATTTTTAGTGAAGAAAAATTTGTCAATTGAATTTTATATTATTTTTTGCCCTAACATTCATAAAATCTTCCCATTCTCCACTAACTCTAGATATATCTATAAACAATAAAATTTATTTGACGTTCAGAGTCAAATGTCATAAGAAGCTTGACTAATATAATGTTTATTTTTTTTAAAAATCCAATATGTACCCTTGAAGGTAGACTTTAACGGACAAAGAGGAAAGAGATTATTATTTTCAAAACCAATTTTACCAAACAGGTGAGCAAAACAAAGAACTGTGGCTTCCCACAAATCTCTGTCTAGCAATTTTTCTTTATCTTAATATCTACTTTAAATATAATGTTTAAAACAGAAAAAAAATAAACCACAAAAAAGCCAGACACAAAAATCTGAGACGTATGTTTTAAGAGAAAAATGAACATGCATAAAATACCAAATCATATGGTCACAAGTGAAAATGCTAAATGAGCAGAAAGATTTTCCAGGAGACAACAATGTAGAAAAGGCATAGACGTATTTCTAAAAGCCAGATCTCTATATCAATAATGCAAAAAACGAAACCCTAGGGCCTCACACTTGATTCAGAACCATGTGAGCTTCATTTATCCTTCTCTGAATGTTTTAGAAAATAATTCAGAATCTATTTTCCATCCAAAATTAAGGCAATGGTATATGTCGAGCATCACACTTCATACAGAACGTGCTTAACATTCTGTCTTTGTCTCCTAGACTCACTTCTTAGAAGCAACATAGTTCCACAGAACCAAGGTAAGACTCTTCCACTTAAAACATTAAACTCCAATAAAGACCTAAAGAAGGGTTATGACTATTATCCCCTCCTGCGCTTCATGATGGTGTGAAAGACACACACTAGAGTGGAAGAAAAAGCAAAAATAAACAGCATGTCAAGAATTAACTTTTTGAAGTATATCACTATCATGCATATTTTCCATTTGCATAATAATTGAACAAGTTATAAATTATATCTATATAAGCTCATGTTGCCAAAGAATTTTGTCGTATTATTATTCAAGCAGTTTTTCTCCATCTACATATTCTTCTGAAAAGACATCATTATGTTAAAATATTATATGTGCTTCATACATAGAATTGTTCATAGTTTGCTGATACAATATACTGATATGTATTAAATCTGAAGAATTATAAATATTTAATAAACTAATTCATAGCACAAAAATATATAAATATGCTTTCTGTCCTTACAACTTAAAATGAAATTAAGTTTTCCCCTTCTATATTTTTCATTTAGTTGACATTTTCTGAAAGCAGTCACTATAACCAAATCAGCTAATAAATTTAAAACACCACCTATCATTGCATTTATTCAACTGCTGACAATAATACCTAGCAATATAAGGAAGCATAGGAAAGCTATTAGTCACACCAGTTCCCTGACCCAAATCATTCCAAACATAATTTGGGGAGGATGAAACCAAAGGATTAGCACAAAGATAAAAATCAGTCTCTCTACGTATCAGATAAAAATCAAGTTATAAAGAGGGAGAGAGTATGTGTGTGTGTACCCAGTTATATGTGCTTGTGAGAGGAGTATTTTCAGTACTGGAATAATCATAGAATTTATGTCATACCTGTGCTCCATAGATATATTTATCCAACATCTTGCCTCCTATTGTCTGTCCTCCTATATCCCAAACTTGAAGAGTAACATTCAGGTTTCCTTGAATATAAAAAGAATGCAGAAAAGGTAAGTAACAAAATAACAACTGGATACAGTTTCAGAGAACACTAAGTCACAATGATAAACTGTGGACCTAATCTGCCTTTTATTCTGCACGCTCATATGGTCAGATTATTTGGAACTGTGAAATAATGTTGTCAAAAGAAATCATAATGGGGAATTTAGATTTATACTTTTACCCCATTTCTATAGAACCATATTTATAATCACCTTCAAAACAAAACAAAAAAAACCTTCAATTCATACACTGCTCAAAACTTTAAAAAGAATAGTTTTCTTAAACAGAGACTAGGACGATAGAACACTTGTACGAGGGGTAAAAAATATATACTTTAAAAATAAAAATAGAACATTATATTATATAAAGTATTATAACCTACCCTATAGCACATAATGAATTTTACTGTAAACTCTAAACTCTATAGGTTCTAATACTCACAGATTAATAACAGACTACAAAAATGGACTCAGAGTTTCAATTCAAATTAATGGGACTTTTAATATTTAAATGTCACCTATTATATGCAGTAGGAAACATAATTTTTAAAACTACATGTTTTCAAATTTAACCTATAAAATATAAACACATACGACAGCCCTCTTGAGAACAGATGTAGGATACATACCCAGTATATCACTAAATATTATAATGCATTTACTGTTAAAAGCATTTCCATTGAAACAAATCATAATATGTGCTTCAAAGCCTTCAAAAAATGGTGGAACAAATCTTCCCCATACAAGCATTATAAAAGCATTTAAAAATACTAAAAAGCAATCTTTAAAATTCTTTTGTCTATTTTGCAAACTATTTGGCTGATACAAAAATTTATGAGATAAGCTATTCTCTCTTATGAATGCATAACCCCAGAAGTTAAAGACCAAGTCCAACGTACTTTTTAGTTTAACATTTCAAAGTATTTCTCCTAATAATGCAGTTTTCTCCAAAAGTAGACAAAGTCTCAATTAGCATCTTCGAAATGAATTCCCACACTAAAAAATGGACCTGTCTGACTGATCTGCCAATCAGAAAAACTCAAAATAAAAACTTAAGACACTAAAAAAAGTTCTCGCTTTGAAAACAATAAAAAAGATTAGGAAGACATGAATTTTTATGCCAATGCCAAAACACTGAAATCAGAGAATGTTAAGTCACACCATTCAACTGAAAAGCAAGTATAACACTGGATTAACCAGCCAAGTTTTACCCTTAACTCTAAGTTTTGTTGGGTTTGTATTACAATCTTTCCATTATTTTGAGGTAGGTCTGTTGCATCTGCCAACGTGCAAAGGATTTACATGAGGAACTTCCATTAGCATTAATGAGAGCTCCTGAAGTTTATCACCCGTCATCATTCCCACATACACACACTTTCAACACTCACAGAGTAATGACGAACATGTTCTTAGAGCTTTGTAAAGACGAAAACCAAAATGTCACAGACTAAGTAAGACTTATCCAACAACTGAGATAAACCCACTTACTTAAAAATCTAATTTTTTCAAGTTTCAAAACTCAACTCATTCTCCTATGATGGTGTCTCAAACTAAGCAGGTGAGAAAAGACTAGTAGTCGTTAGCAATATGTTAAATCGCTTTAGAAGCCCCTAGATAAACAGGCAGTACTCTCTTCATTTTACTTGCATACTCTTTACAGTCATTTGTTTACTTCAAAAAAACCAGTGCTTAATAATATTAACTTTCTTACAGTAAGATTGTAGGCAACACTTAATATAAGGCATTTAATCCCATTTTCTTCAAGGCCAATAAATCCTATCACTTAGCTTTGCACTAAGAAATATAAAGCTTTTCTTCCTTTAAATTCTGATAGTCAGATTCAATCTGAATTAGTTATTGTGAACACCTTAGCTACCATTTTACGAACATGATATTCATGTTTCCAAATCCATACTACATCATTTCAAGACTAAATCGTTTATTTAGTTGCCTCCCATCTGAGAAGTTTGTATTTATATTCCTGTGTTGCAGGTATTTTTTAAATTCATACCTTTCGAAATAAACACTGTTTGTTGTTGTTGGCTTGTTTTTTTAATATACATATTCTAGTGCCTCAGAAATAAAAAGTTATGCATCACTGATAATCGACAATGCTAGCCAAAAAAAACCCACTTTTGCTATCATTATAGCTTCCACAAATGATACTAGCTTCATAGTTATTTCATATGTCTAGAAACATGTTTTTAACTTCCACATTTGAATTTTAGGCTTATTAACATAAAAATAAAAATAAACAGGGGTTCTCTCTTTAGAAAACAAAATCACATAAAGATGGAATTCCGATCAATATTCATTTTAGTTTCCCTAAACATAAATATATGAAGTATCCATGTATATTTTCAAAATGACATACCTAATAACCTACAAAAATAGAATTCAAATAATCAATACTATAAAATTTTTTAAAAATCAAGAATCCATCTAATATAAATTTCCCACTAATAAAGAACATTAAGGAAATTGTCAGCAATCTAATCTCAAATGCAAAATGTTACAAAATTCCTGCTCCCCCGTAAGGAATGACATGTAACCAGGGGAAAAAAAATAAGATAAATGAGGTGACAAAATACAGGTAAGTTGCTTTTGGTATGAATCAAAGCCACCAAGAGGATTCAACAGTGACCTTGTAAAAGTACACTTGGTGCCTTGGTTAACCTTACTTAAAGTGCTGCACAGTCAAGATGGAACTAAAAACACAAGTCTGCCCACTTCTTGTACTAAAGACTTAGAAATCCTTTTCACAGTAGAACGCTGTTTACTGGACTGTACCCACAAGCTTCCTGAAAGTATTTTGACTAAGGCTCTTAAGAAGCTCTATCAGCAGAATCTCTGACTAACAGATACACTATTTTAAGCAGTAAACGCTGCACAGTGGTTGCATCCAGACTATACAGCATACCGGAACATGAAATATACTAAAATGGATGAATATTTACAAAGTAATGACCTTGAAAACTTGCATGAAGAGAATGTCAATAGATGGACAGGAGGTATTCACCTAACAATCTGAATGGACAGAAGATTTACTAGACAGAATACTTAAATACCAGATTCGCCTAGTATGCTCTTTACAATAAATTCAATAATGCTGCCTGTAATGTTTTAGCAAATGATACATATATTAATCATCCTACATTTGACACTTGCAATGAATTAAAATTAAGGTTAAAATATATAAAGAATATACTGTGAACCTTGTAATTTATCTATCTCCTTTCTTAATGTACTTAATTATATATATAAAATCAAGTTACATTAAAACAATTTTTTCCTAGTGAAATTTCTAACACAATTTTGAGTCCATGAAGTAACATAAAACCAACTGCCTTAAAAAAAAAAAAAAAGAATTTTTTTCTGGAATTCTACCCATCAAAATAAAAACTTAATCAGGAATTCATTAAAATATACATTCATTGAGAGTATAAATTTCCTAACGTCACTTTTAATATAAGTACTTTCTAACTCTAAAATATTATACTATAAATTTTGATTTCAAAAATACCAAATATTTTTTACAAAGTAATCAAAACTTTAAAATGGGTAGTATTGTGCAACAGATCAGAAATCATATGTATATATCACCTATATAAAATGTCCAAGACCAGTCCTAAAATATTTTTAATGATTGAGTGGTGCTTATTCCTATATTTAAGGCTTTGAACTAAAAAAAAAGTCAGAATAACTAAATAATATTAATGGTACAGAAAGCTGATGCTCTTGCTAATTAGCATCAAAAACAATAGTCAATAACTAAATACATATACTAAGGTTCTCTATGTACAACTACCATCTCTGAAAAAACTGTTGCAAAAAATAAGCTTTCAGCTTGTATATGATTTGTGTATGTATTCTTCTAGTGACTCCTATACTCTGAATGTAGCATTAACCTAGCCAAACAAATGAGAATAATAAAAGTAAAATGAGATTTTTCAGTTTTGAATACATTCAAAGGAAATACAAATGAAACAAAATATGCGTATGTTTCTCATTAAGCCTCTTGTTGCAATAACTTAGTAATAGAAAGTTGGAATTCTTTTCTCATACTATATCTTTCAATTTATTTTTCATTGGTTGCTGAATACAGACAATCACAAAATATAATAGAGCATATTACTAGTGAGATATGCAGAATACCTCCAATTACTAAGAGTTTTCATTAGCTGCTCTAAAACTTTCATGGAGAGTTGTCTGATAGATGGGGTGTCTGAGAGGTTAACATATTTCAATAATATTGGAATTTATTAAACCCCTTCCCACTATATCACTCACACTCCAGTATATGAATCTGACACTACACTCGCAACTGTTTGTATTCAAATGTGTTTCCTCAGAGAGGAGAGGGATGGACTGGTTTAGAAAGTCAATCAAGATAAACTGCTTTTAATAAAATACTTTAAACATCTAATTTAACCATCACAAATGAATGGACAGAGCATTTTAAAGCCCCAATTGTTCAGAAACTAACTTAAAACAGAAACCACTCTCTTTTTGTTATTATATCCCTGTATTTCCCACAAAATGTGCTGCAACTGGCATCTAAATAGTTTCTTTGCATGGTGAACTGAAACATCTTGAATGCTCAAACTGTATTTTTATGAGTGCCTAGGGACCCTAAATTTTAGTGGTCTATTAAATGCCAGCAATTTCATGCTGCCTTGCATAAAACAGCATTCACATATTAGAGCACAGAAGTTCCACAGCTACATTATACTTCTGTTCCAACCTTCTCTCGAACAAAAAACTGAAGCAGTGGCTAATCAAAATAATATTTTTAAAAAATAATCCTTTCCAGTCTTTTCACATTTAGTTTATACAATATCTGTTTATAATTGTATAGCATTTGACTTTTTTTAACTTCTTAGAATTTTATAAGCAACTATTGTTTATCCTTGAAAAATGTGTGGAGTGGTCAAAAACAGCGGGAGAGTGGGGGAATATATAAACTTTTCTCTCACACCCATGGACAATATGTCTTCACAGGAGATCCTGATGCAAGTTAACCTCCCTATGATAGATCTGCTAATTATATATATTTTCATGCAGAAACAACCCCCAAATTTATTTTACATATTTGTTATTATTGTAAGATATGTACAATTTTCTATGTTAAGATTTTTTAGTCTCTTACCTGGCAACGTTATCCTTCTCAAAAAGAAATCCAGTCCTATAGTTTGTTTGTACTGTTTCCCAAAAGTTTCTTGAGCAAAACATGTAGTTAAGGAGGTCTAAAAAGATTGATGCATAGAATATCAAAATTAATGTCTTTGCTTTAGAAATGTAAACAAAATCATTACTAACCTTATTAAGTAATCTTAGTATTTATACTATCATTAATCCAACAAACAACTTTAAGCAGTTCTAATCAGTTACAGTGGGAGAAGGGACTTAACACTCCACCAAGTAAATTTCACTTGCCAACAGCTACCAGTGGGGACAACAGACTAATCTGTTAGATCTCTTTAAATCCCCTGAATAGTCAAGCTCCTTCTCCTTGCTGGAAATTAGAATTTGAGATTTATCAACAAGAAAACTAAAACAACATGACTAAAGATCTGACTCCTATACATCCATATGTATCAGTTCAATACAAACATCAGAGAATTCTAAGTTTCATTCCTGAGGTTAAATACTCTGAATATTTGTGCTCTTAGCCAATAATAAGTACTAATTAAAAAGGGGAAAGCCCGTTCATATAATTTTTCCTTTTTCCCTACCAAAAAAGTACCTTTAAATGTCTAATTTTTCTCTATATTAAAGATGTTAAATGAAAATTATCCTACAGAATGACTGAGATAATATTTATCTTTAAAATTAAAAAGTCAGTATTTTTAAGACTAATATTAAGCAGGCAAAAATAAGTATTTTCCATCCAACAACCATAAAGATTAAAAGTCACAAGAATATTATAACCAGAACATATATACATATTTCTACATTTTTTTTAAATAACAACTTAAAGTTGTATTCAAAACTCTGGAGTACCATTTCCTATCAAAGCAGAATAAAAATCATTCTGGAAACAACTGAAATAACTCAATAACTTAAAAGCTTCTTAAACATTTTAAATGCACTATTTGTAAACTTCACCAAAAAGAAAGGCAGATTCACGAAGCTTTTATGCTCTTTAAGAAAGACTACCAAAGTTAAGTGAAAATTGCCTTTTTTTATTTTAAAAGTTAAAATTAGATATCAACTCCCAAAATAATGAAAACTAAAATTTCCAAGATAGCTTAGTAAAATTAATTATTACATACATGCAGCAATGCAAAAGAAAACTTGGCCAAATTTCAATCTCTTCAAACAAAAAGAACTAAAATTCCTTTTGACACAAGAACCATATTTTTCACACAAATGACAATCCGCACACGCTAACCAATTCTTTTATTATTTAAATACTCAGCATTTGTAATAAATTTCTAAGATATGTGGTCAAATATTTATTGCGCACCCTAAGAAAGATGTTCTGCTAGGCACTGAGAAGTAAACTCATTACACTCAAATGAAAATTTGTTTGGCTTCCTGAAGCATATAACAATAATATAAAAACTGAGAGATTGGAATAAAAAGGGTAAGCATCCCTTAAAACTTTTTGTTTTTTCATTTAGCTTTATTTATGCCATTGTGCTTGTTTAACTTAGAGTACAAAATCTTCTGTTAAGAGGTTCAGAGTTCCAGAGAAAAATAATTGCCACTATTTAACTATTATAGATATTTCAAAATGTTTAATACAGGGATGGTAGATATACTTTTATAAGACAAAGAGAAACTCAAGGCACATGTAACATTAGCATTGTGCCATTTAAGGTAATTTTTCACTTTCATGTGAGGTTCTCAAAGTTCAGTGTTTTTATATTAATGAATATTTTTAGAAATTCAAAGGTTCTTTTCTTGGAAACAGGACTTCGAAATTCTGAAAGCCCTACCCTCACACTTTTTGAGGCAAACATAAAGCTAGGATTTTTGATTGGAATAAAGTATAATCTGTCAAAAGTATAGGCCCATGGGAACAGAGAATATTAAAATGTGTTCTTATACCATCTCTGGACATACTACAAAATTAAACAGAATCAACTGAATCAGTGGTAGGCACTTCCTCTTCAATTCTCTAGACTTTCTGCCCTCTTTCACACTTAATAATTTCTCACAAGTCATTATATAAATACCCTTCTTAAACTTATGAAGGGAACAATCATCTACCATATGTGAAACATCTTTATCTGATCCTTTATATTGTTTTGTTTGGTGAGCTTCTGCTAACAATTTTTACCATACTACATTTACTAATACCAAAAAAAAAAAAAACCAAAACAATATTTGCCTCAAAAAAATCTTAAGAAATATGTAATAAAATCAAAAGTATGAATCAAAACAGAAAGAAATAGAAACACATGATACTAGGAGGAGGAGCTCAATTTCTCTTGGAGAAACTATTAGTGATTATCTCAATACTCGATTGCTTCCATCAATGTGTATTTAAATGCCATGAGTTAAAACTGACAAGAAAAACTAATGCTAGAAAAACCAGCCAGGAATTCAACTAGTATACAAATAAGAATGAAAGAGAGGCTGAATTCATAAAAGGATAGTAAAGGAAACAGAATGGGAATGTTGGTAGCTGCCAATAACTTGAGAGCTGAATAGGGTATGGAGAAGAAAAAAGCTTGATACACAAATAATGAAAAAAGGTTAGATTTCTGATGTTCGTATCTGAAAATCTCTGGCAGAAAATGCCTTACAGTTTTAAAAGAGATTAGTCAAGATGATAAAGACTAAATCAGAACACCATAAAGAGTTATCACTCACTCTTTTAAGCAGAATGATAGTCCTAATTCAACAATATGGAAGGTGAAAAAAATCATGCCCTGTCCTACACTAGGCAGAATTTTAGACAGAAATGAAAAACTGTAATTATTCACACTAAATTAGCAACAAGAAGAAAACATAAGAAGGGCTAAATAAAAAACCCAGAAACAAAATAATGAACAAACTTCAACTGAGTAACACATGTATGAAATTAACTGATAAATACTGGTAGAAAAAGAAATGAACAAAAGTTTAAAGAATTATGATAGAACGTAGGGTAATGGGCAATTTTTGTCTCTTTTAACAAGTGTGTTAGTGCTACAGATTGTCATTGTAATTTTAAACAGGAAGTGAGTTCAGTTATGAGTTGACCATAAAAGGATTTAGGAAATGAAAAATTAGAAGGTATTCAAAAGAAAATTGAACAATAAGAAAACTATGCAAATATACCTTAAAATTTTTATTGAATAAGAGTGTTAGAAACAATGCTGATTTATTTAAAACAATTGAAACCTTCAAAAAGTTGCTTCCCCAAAACCTTTTAAAGGTAATCAGATTATCTTAGGTTGTTTTTTCTCAGCAATAAAAATCAGTAACAAAATATCATCCCGGAAGGCAAGAAATTAACAGAATACTCCAAATTTTGCATATGAATGACACTTCTCCCAGGTGCCCTAGGAACTCAAATCTCAGAACCAAAGACTGGTGCAGCTTTGCAGGGCCAACTGCCAGGGAAGATGCAAACAGCAGTCGTCACCAGAGAAACCAGAGTCCAAGCTACACCAGTAAAAGGGATCGTGAAGCCGGACACTGGTAACAATAACAACCTGCGTTTCTGAAGACTCTGGCTAGGAAAAGGGAGGGAAAAGAAAGGACACAGACTTTAGCAATATTCCCAGAAACAGTGTTGGCGCCTTGGACAGAAGCGACAAGTGTGAAGACACCCCGGGCAGAGGCTCCTCACTTTTATTTGGGGGGTGGTCACTGACCCTTTTTTGAGATCCCATGGACCCTCCCCAAAGAGCAAGCACCAAGAGATGATTATGTCCTTTTCAGGAGCTCCACAACCCAGAGTTAAAAACCCCAGCCTAAGAGGTAGGGAGACTGGCTGTCGGATATTCTCACGCACTCGGTCTCATTTATTCAATCAACCGTCACCAAAGACTAGACTCTGAGCAAGGATCCCCTCTGTCACGATAGCAGCTCTACTCTCAGCATCAGCCCAGATTAGGAGCTCGATAGATACCTGTTCAATGAATGCTTGTGTTGACAGGTGCTGTGCTTCGAGCAGTGATGAACAGGTACGATGCTATAAAACAGCAACTAGCGTTCATTGAGGGCACACCGTGTTCTGAAAGCTTTATGTGGATTTTCACATTTAATGTGTATTTGCACATTTCACCCTTTGAGACGACCCCTATCAATACCTACCTTACCGATGAAGCACAAATAGGTTAGCAATTTTGCCCTCCAATGTCCCGACCAGTAAGTCATGGAGCCCCAGTGCTCACCCAGGGAATTTGATTCCAGAGCAAAGTTCTTGGGAGTGCAGTGTAGGTACGAGAAACCGTAAAGCGGCCGGGGGATGCGGGGATGGGGGGGAGGGGGGCTCGCGGGGGGAAAGGCAAAGTGTGAGCTGGACTAAAGTAAAAAGAGGTAAAATGACTTGGCAGATCTTTGCCAGTCCTCGGAGGCGAGAAGCTGGAACGCTTCCCAGGAGGGCGATGCTGGCTCGACTCTTGAAGTGGGAGTTCGCGATCCAGGCAGGGAGTTGGGAAGTGACTTTTTTTTCTTTTTCTTTCTTTTTTTTTTTTTTTTTTTTAATTTAAGGAGAGCCGGACAGCTCTCGTCAGCCTTCACCCAGCGCCTACTCCGTGTCTGGCCCCAGGCCACGATCAGGCGGGCCCCGGCCCTTGGGGGAATGAGGCGACGCCGAGCGGCGGGGAGGAGGCTGGGGTTTGCCGGGGCCGCGCCGGGGTTCCTGCAGGCCGGGGACGGCGGGCCCGCTGGAGGACTGACCTTCCCGGAGGTGCCGTCCCCCAGCACGACGATTTCCAGTTGCCGGTCCCGGCTCTCCTCCTCAGAGTCCGACATGGTGTCCCGGGAACCAGGCCCGCTCCCCCACCCCCACCCCGAGGTAGAGGGAGGAAGGGTAGGAGGGGGTCTCCGGGGGCGGGGGAGAGGAGGAAGGGCGGCAGTGGGGGCAGGACCCCCCGCCCCAGTGTCTCAGCGGCGGCTGGACGTATCTGGGGTGAATCACTCGCCGGGCGCCATCTTGCCCACCTCCCCTCCCCTGCGCACCGCCCCGCCCCCCACGCGCTACGTCGGTCGCCCCCCCCCCCCCGCGCCAACCCGCGCGGACGCGAGCCTCCCTAGCAAGCCGGCCCATTTGCGGGCCTGCGATGGGGGAGGCGTTCGAACTGAGCAGGCGAGACGGGCGCTACTCTCGAAGAGGAAGCTGTGAAGAAGAAAAACAAAATATATCATTCAAATCAGGTGGGAAAATGGGAACCCTGTAGCATTCAGGCGTTCTATCATATTCCCGTGTTTCCATCACCCCCTGTGAAGGTCCCTGAAGTGAATGGTTTAGCTGGAGGGGGGGCGTTGACGCCTGGGCTGCGCGCCACGGTTGCCATGGAAACCGGGAGTTGGAGAGGCGGTGGGGCGGGGCCTGTCTCCGGGCGCCCTGCGAGCCGGTTGCCAGGCGCAGCGCACAGGGGAGGGGCCCCTGGAGCGGGCAGAGGTGGCGGAGGTCGAGCCTCGGGAGGAGCGTGGGCGCCGCCGAGGTTGCTGAGGACCATTCTGCCTGCGGGCAAGCGCCCGTAGTGGCCTTCAGTTTAACGGAGTTCTGGCGCTGCCTCTTTGTTTTGACCTGTGAAACCATGGGTTCTCTCGACAGAACAAGAGAATCCGATGGTTCATTCGTCAAGCAAGTAACCTAGAACAGCCGTTCTCAAAGTGTGGTCCGGGGAACTCTGGGGGGCCCCAACAGAGTCAAAATTATCTTCATAATAATACAAACATCTTTTTGTTTTCTTTTGTTTTTGTTTTTGTTTGCCTTTTTCGTGTTCATTCTCTCACGAGTATAAGTTTTCCAGGGGATGCATGATGTATATGATGGCATTACTCTGGCAGTTAAGGAATCATGTGCTTGTTATAAGGTTCCAAACATTTCTTAGTATTAATTTCAAAGCAGTAATGATAGCTATAACTTACCTAAACAAAAACTCTTTGGGGTCTACAATAATTTCTTAAGAGTGGAAAGAGGCCCTGAGCCCAAAAAGTGTAAGAATTGCTGTACTGTCTCAGTCCAGTAGAGCAGGTAAAAGATGTCACAGAAAGTTCCAATAGAGATAAATTCTACAATAATAATGTCAACCTACTATGCTTGTCTCATTGTTAATTACTTCACAGGGATGACCACTGTTCATTCCTCATGAGAACCCTATAGAGTAGATAGAATTATTTCATTTTACAGATGAGTAAGCTTAAGACACAAAAAGCTCAGCTCAGAGGCAGTGGTCCTGGAAAGAATGTAAGGAAGTAGAATGGGAAAACAATACAGTTTTAAGAAATGCCCAGCCCTAGAGGGAGCACTGGTGTTCTAATCACAGACCTGTGCTTACTAGATGTGTGACCTTGAACCACAGTTACCTTATCTATAAAATAGAGGTACTACCTCCTTCATAAGGTTGAAAATTAAATGAAAATTAAATCAATGTAAAGTAACAGCACAATGCCTGGCATATACTAGTAACACTCAGTAGGTATAATTATCCTCTTCATCATCATCAGTAGATATAGTCCATGTTGAAGCATCACTGCTTCCTAGCCATGTTACCTTAGACAGGTTTCTTATGTAGATTACATTTAATTATACATTAGTAGTTCATTCTCCTCCTTACATATCATTATACATTACTGATATGTCCCATGCATATAAGCATGTATATATTATGTATGCCCGCAGAACCCCTATGCATTATCGTGCATTAATGATATAACCCCTGCACATAAGCAAGTATATACAATTATTAATCTTGCATAAGACATTAAGTTAACCAAATCTCCAGTAATACTTAAATTGGAATGCACTTCACTTATCCAAAAAAGACCTTGATCATCAAGCTTCGAGAAAACAGCAATCCTTACAGAAACGTGTACCTCTTCTCACTCCGAGCCCGTAACACGTGAGGGTTCCTATATTAAAACCATACCTGGCGGGCGCCTGGGTGGCTCAGTTGGTTAAGCGACTGCCTTTGGCTCAGGTCATAATCCTGGAGTCCCGGGATCGAGTCCCACATCGGGCTTCCTGCTCAGCAGGGAGTCTGCTTCTCCCTCTGACCCTCTTCCCTCTCGTGCTTTCTAGCTCTCATTCTCTCTCTCTCTCAAATAAATAAATAAAATCTTTAAAAAAAAAAAAAAAAACCATACCTGGCATCGAGTTCTTACTTCAGGGCCATATAACTCTTTACTCCTATCCTACAAATCCTCTCAAACGGGACATCTAGATGGACTAATGACTAATCAGCCCATGATCACACATAACTGTGGTGTCATACATTTAGTATCTTTTCATTTTTAGGGGGAGAAAGCGGTATCACTCAGCCATGACCGTAAAGGTCTAGCTTCTTCATCTGTAAGTAGGGTTAGTCCCAGTTAGTATTACTTCTCAGTACTTTCCCTACTCCCAACCACCACCACTAACAACTCCCTACATTACCAGCTCTTTTAATGAGGATCAGTAGGAAAAAGTACCTGGAAGGGTTTTGCAAAGTTCTTTGTAAATGTTAGCTTGAAGAATCTATTTCTAACGAAGACAGATTTAACCCCTTCTGTCCATGAAAGGAGTTAATGTTGCAGAAATTTGCTTTTCCATTTGTCCTTAATGGAAATGGTTATGTAACCCAGTTCTGACCAATCAGACAGAAGAAGAGGTCCTTTGGGAGACATCTGGAAAACATTTTCCTCCCCGATTAAAAAAGAAGAGGAGCACCTGGGTGGCTCAGTCAGTTAAGCATCAGACTCTTGATTTCAGCTCAGATCATGATCTTGGGGTCATGAGATCAAGCCCCAGGTCATCGGGCTCCAAGCTGGGCACGAAGCCTGCTTAAGATTCTTTCCCTCTCCGTCCACCCTCCCCCCCCACACACACACACATGCTCCCTCTCCCTCTCTCTTTAAAAAAGAAAAAGGAGAGATGGAGAAATATCTCTCCCTCCCATCCCCTCCTGTCATTATTTGGGTGAGGACATAATATTTGGAATTGCCACAGCCTTCCAGGCTTCTTGTTATGGGGCTCTTTGGCTACATATTCCATTACTTGCAGGTAGAAACATCCCAGCTGGCACAACTGCTTTGGCCCAAAACTAGATTTAGCTGAGGTCGTAAGACTGATTTTCATGTGTGGTTTCATATGAAGGGAAATTTAGAAGAAAACTTTGCATTTTCCTATCATCAATTTCCTAGACAACTGCTCTGATGGAGAGACGACATTTATTTGGATACGGATTCATCCTGGGCAGTGCTGCTACATGAAATAGGCCAATTGTGTTATTTTAGGTGACCATATTTTACACATCTATGGCAAGATTCCAGGTTGAAAATTAGATTTGAAGACTTGGAACCACATTTGTAAATTAAAAAGAAAAAAAAAGGGTGCCTGGGTGGCTCAGTCAGTTAAGCCCAAGTCTGACTTCAGTTCAGGTTGTGATCTCAGGGTCCTGGGATGGAGCCTCATGTCGGGCTCCCTGCTCAGCGGGAAGTCTGCTTCTCTCTCTCCCTCTGCCCAGCCCAGCTCCCCCACTCGTGTGCTCGCTCTCTCTCTCTCACAAATAAATAAATAAAATCTTCAAAAAAATATATTCCTCTTGTGTAGAAGAGCATGCTAGCTAGCACTGAAAGCTTCCAGTATGGTGCACTACCATTCTAAAGAGAAATAGAGCTGATCACAGAAAAGGAAAATGTGGAGCTTATGTAAAACACCCACAACAGGGTCATAAACTAGGGAAATCTTTTTCAGTAGTCATAAAACAAATAAATTAACAAAATGCTTAAAGACAAATTCTAGAAATTTCAGGAGATTAGGGTTCTTTAGATATGAAGAAGTAAAAGTACTTAAATTAAGGATCTTGAGATGGAGAGATTATCCTGGATTATCAGGGTGGGCCTTAAATGCAATCACATGTACCCTTATAAAAGAGAGACAGAGGGAAATTTGACCCAGACAGAAAAAGAGAAGGTATTGGGCCACAGAGGCAGAAACCAGTGACACAGCCACCAGCCAAGGAATGCCGGCCAGCACCAGAAACTGGAATAGGCAAGGAAGGAATTCTCCCTCTAGAGCCTCTGGAGAGAGTACAGCTCTGTCAACACCTTGACTTCAGCCCAGCAAACACTGGTTTGGCATTTGCAGACTGCAAAGCTATGAGAAAATAAATGTTGTTCTAAGCCACCAAGTTTATGGTAATTTGTCACAATGGCCACAGGAAACTAATCTAAGGAGAAACACAGAAATACCATAAATCAACAGGAAAATTTTAGATTCGGGTAAAAAAAAAGAGAGAGTAAAACAGTCAATGGATGGGATAAAGAGTAAAACTATCTGAACATTTTTATGTATCACTAGGGTGAAAAACAGTAAGTGAATCAACAAGTAAACTGATTTCAAAACCACCAACCTCTGCTATCATTTTAAATCTAATAGTCATCCATTAGTTTTCTGTCATCTTTTTAAATATTTCATAATTTTGAAGATGCAGACCTTAGGATTAAAGCCCCAGTGAATATGGATTTGGGAAAAAAAGATAAAATATTGTTGAGTAAGGCAGAATAATGGCCATGCTTTCAGCTCATGCACTTGGTATTGCTGTGCTTCTGCTGAAACACAAGAAAAATATAGAAATGATCCATAGGATGTATTGATTGAACTCCTATAGGACAAAAATAAATAAATTAATTAAATAAGGCTCTCTTCTTGAAATTCTCTTCTCCCTTGGTTATACAAATACACACACACATATATACGTGTGTGTACATGCGTGCGTGTGTGTGTGTGTTTCATGCATTGCATGTGCATGTAACCACCTCCTAAATCAACATATAGTACGATCCAGAATCCCAGCAGGCTCCCTTGTGTCATCTCTCAGTCACTAACTCCTCAAAGGTAACTGCCATTCTGAATTCTAGCACCATAAATTAATTCTACCTGGTTTTGAATTTTATGTGACTAGACTCCATATGGTATGTGCTCTTTGGCATCTGACTCCTTTCACTAAATATTGTCTGGGAAAATCATTCACGGTATGTGCAGCAACAGC